CTTCTTTATGACTTTATGTATAGCAATGATGTAGGTCACGTTAATAAGAATTAATGTCATGTGTTACTGAAAAGTGCACAACAACTCATATGTAAGTGCACAATATAATTCAGATTACTTTGATGCACTTTTTTTTACATCAGTTCTACAAGGTGATGAAGTCATCAAAGCGTAATCAGACGCAAATTACTTTGATGCACTTATCATATCTTATTCATGCACTTTTCTTTGTTTTTAGTTTTTTTACAAATACATGTGAAACCAAAAGACAATGCCATACTCAGATAATTGTCATTAAAAGTGAATTAATGTGTGTGATATTATAGTGCACTTTTGCAAATTTTTAAAACATTCACGATAAAAATGCATTTCATTTTGTAAAAAAGTGTCAACGCAGAATTTTACAACGTATAATATAATAGTGATCTTTTATTGATATTAGAAATGCACATAATAGTTGTTTATTTACGCTCGCATACATATGTTTATTTTCATTTTTATTTAGAAATACGTGGAAGTGCACAACTACAAAGGCTAAAGTGCAGATAAATGACTTAAGTGTAGAGGTTAATATAATAAAAGTATTAATTCTATCCTTCAGAAAAATCTCTTTAGTTTCTTTTGATCAATGAATTGTTGTTACTATTTATATTACTATCAGTGCAAATTAAATATTCATCATTTCTACCAAATTGGTTGTTGGTCGGAGAATGAAATTGGTTAACGTGAATAAAGTTTCGTAAATAAATATTTAATGGTGCCCACACGAATTGATGCATTTATCATTTTAATGTCGAATAGTTTCATAATAGTTATCTATTAACTTCTAATAAGATTATAATGATAAATTTGTACTAAACTTTTAATGCACTTATCATACTTCATTCATGCACTTTTCATCAGTTTTTTGTTTTATTTTTTTTTTGCAGATAAAAGTGACACTAGGAGAGAGTATTATAATGGAAATCGACATGTTTTCAGAAGAAAAGTGCATTTCATTTTGTAAAAATAATCAATGTAAAATTTTAGAATAGTGTGATAACTAGTGCACTTTTATATATCTCAAAATGCACATAATAAAAGTGCATTTTACTTTATAAAAAAATGTAGGTGTAGAATTTCAGAAAACATTGTAATTGATAGTTTATATTCTTATATATTTAATTAAATTCATGTTGCATATATTTTTAATAAAAGTGACAGTATTATACACTGGACTGCAAATCTTATGATTATACTTGTGCATAGCGTTTTAAATAAAAGTGCATTTGTACGAAATTATAATGCATACCTTTGACGTAATACACTTTAATATTTACGAGGACGTATTTATTCCAGGAAAAAAATTATGTGATTAATACAAAACAAATAAACGTGGATTTTGAAAAGGTAATTTAATTATCCAGACCAAAAAAATATGTATTTTGAAAAATAAAGTACGATTATGAAGGAGTTTCATTTGTATGAGTTACTTTTCCTAATTATTAGGAAACATCCAACAATAAGATCACATGTGCAAATAATAATTAAAAAAATTCAATGCCTAATAACTAGTTGTCCGAAATTTTAGGCATATTCAATTTACTATTCAAAATTACAGTGAGATTTTAAGGAAAGGAATGTAGTGGTCCGTTATATTGATAAATGTGACCTTGCCTCTTTTACGTAAATACCCTTGTTATTAAATTCATTCACTCTTTCCTATTTTTCCTCCAACGAAACCGTCTAGAGCATCCGAACTTTACATTCCAAATCTCATTTTTAAGCCGCACAATTCAATTAATGGTTGGTTGGATTTTGTTCTCATTTCTATCCTAAGAGAATGTTCTCACTTGAACCTTCCCCTGTATATATATATATATATATACACACATATACAGGAGTGAGATCACATACAAACCATGCTTAACTTACTAACCTACAAACTCAATAATATGCAACACTTTGAACTTCAATATGCAGTACAAATAATGTAAAGATAACTCTTTGAATTTCAATATGCAATACAAATAATGCAAATATGAAACTGCTATTTTCTGGGTTGAATATTATGAAACACTTTGAACTTCAATGTGCAATACAAATAATGCAAGAATGATTTGAATGGGAGGACTAGTTTGTATGTGATCTCACCCCTGCATCTTTACATTATTTTTATTGCATATTGAAGTTCAAAGTGATGCATATTATTGAGTTTGTAGGTTAGTATTTTAAGCATGGTTTGTATTTGATCTCTTATCTATATATACATATATATATATTCGTATATATACATATATATATACATATATACATACAGGGGATGGTTCAAATACAAAGACCTCTTCTCATGCAAAGTTAGAATGAATCTTGTGCATTCATTTCCACATCTAATGGCTCAAAATGAGCCAAAAGTGCACAAAATTCGACCAAAACCGTGGTGACAATTTCGTAAATATGTTGCACTATTTCGTTACCGCGAAAAAATGCAACAAAAACACGCAAAAGTGCAAGCGAAAGATGAAAAAGTGCATATCTTCGCACTTTGCACGGGAAGAGGTCTTTTTATTTGAACTCTTCCCTATACACATATATATATATATATACACATATATATACACATATATATATATATACACTAACAAACATTTGTATTATAAAATCATTTAAAAGTAGTAAAACCGTATTCATGTGCCCTAATGCTCTGACGATGTATATTTAACTGATATAATTATACGTCACATAATTTTTATGTTACTTATTTACACAATTATTCAAACAAAACTTGAAAAAACAAAAAACAAATGGCCGTATAACTCTGAGCTACACTCTTCCAAAAAAACTCTGAGCTATGCTAATGTTATCCTCAATTTCTTTTTAGTTGCAACATAAAAAAAATTAACACCATTCACATGCTATACTTTGACTACATTTTATTTATAATAGGAGTATGTGAAGTATAATTTTTTGAATTATTAAAAATTTTCATAAGTTGATTTCTAATTTTTTACTAATAAAAAAATAAATATAATACTACGTAACAATTAAAGTTGTGTGCTTACAATCGTGAAAATGACGATGATAGAACAAAAAATGAAAGGGTTAATTATCAAAATAGGACTAAAAGTCACTCACTTTGCACAAATAGGACCAAAATATAAAGTATGTTTTCATAGGACTAATTATGTGTGTCTTGGACAAATATACCCTTATAGCTATTGAAATGTTTTAATTCATAATAAAATAATAAAAAATAATAAAAATTCGTAAAAAATACTAAAAAATTAATAAAAATATTTTGATAATAATTTATTTATTTATTTTTAAAAAATAAAAAAAAATAAAAAAAAATAAAAAACTCAAAAAAATAAAATAAAATTCTCCGCCGCCTCTGCCGCCTCTGCACCACCACCTCCAGTCACCGGGGAAAAAATGCCGAGGTCATTACGAATGCCATATTTATGGCAGAAAACAATGAGAATGTTGGCATTCTCAAAGAGAAATATGCCATGTTTTTGGCATTTTTAGAAAAAATGACAGTTTTTAGCAAAAATGGCATTTTTTTCACCAGCCCGAGATGGTGGTGCAGGAATGTAGTACAGACGCTGGGAAAGGCATCCATATATTTTTTTAATTTTTTTATGGAGTTTTACTATTCTTTATTGATTTTTTAAAAAAATTAAAATTAAAAAAATTAAAAAATTTTAATTTTTCATTTTAGAAATATTTTATAAATTTTTTAATTATTTTTCTACGAATTTTTGAATTTTTTTCGAATTTATTATGAATTAAACAATTAATTAACTCATATTTAAAAGAAAGGTAAGAATGGAATGAAAAAATGGGTATGTTTCCAATAGGACTAATATGATCCTATTTTGAAAAGAAAAACATAGAGCCCATTTGATAGCACAAAAATCGGCTGATTTGGCTGATTCTACTGAATTTGATGAAGTTCTAGCTGAAGTGGCTACATTGGTTGATTATGCTGATTTAAGAAAAAAATTCTTTTAAAATATATTTTATTAATAAAATAAAGAAAAAATTATATGTAAAAATAGTTAAAATGGTCATCTACGGTAACTTCAGCCAATACAGCCAGAAAAGTAACTCCAACCTTACTTTTTCTGCTTATTACACAATTCAGCGCGTGAAAGCAAAAGTTACGTGTTTGATGAAAAAGTTGGCTGATAAGCCTGATAAGCCGATAAATAGTGTTACCAAACGACCTTATAGTAAATCCTATTTTCAGTTTTTGGCACATTTGTAGTCCTATTTAAAGTAATTTCTAAAAATGAAATACAAAGGTTTTACGGAGTACACTAGTGCAAACCATAAATCCAAATAATATGAGAACTTGAAAATGCTACACGCTATAACTATATGTAATATGTTCTATATTAAATCAAATTTTTTGAATTGAAATGAAATTGAAACCTATAACTTCCTCTTTGGAAGTGTTACGCTAATGTCATCAATCCATAAAGTACTTGGCACAAATCATATACTCATCCGTCCCGAAAAGATTCGCCAAATTGACTTTTCGGTATAGTGACATCTGAAAGTGACATGAAACCCAATAGTGATATTTCAAAAGTGACATAAAAATATGGTAGTGACATATAACAGTTACATAAAAATCCGATAGTGACATACAAAATGACAGTGACATCATGATTTTCCAATAGTGTGACCTTCTTAGTCACATTTTTGTCTTTTTGTAAAAGTTGTCACATTTTAGAAAATTAGCTTCAAATTGTTAATATTCAAGGAAAAAGCCCATAAGTGGAGGACTAAAAGTGTCACTATTATAATAGTTGAAGGATAAAAAGTGTAACTTTTATGAAAATTGAAGGACTAAATATGAAAATTTTCAAAGACGGGTATCAAAAGTGTTTTTAGCGCAATAGTCAAAGACTAAAAATAGAAAAAATTAAAGTCGAGTATCAAAAGTAATAGTCGGAGGATTAAAAGTCGAAAAAACTCTACTATAAAACATGAATGTTACCTAATCCGAGTGTATTTGACCTACATATGAGTTCTGTAAATATATGCTTTACATAAAAGAAATCTTTGATTCTTCTCCTCGAGAATGGAGTCCCTTTTCCGCCATTTTCCCTTTTTATTTAAAATAAAATATAACAAGACGTGCGTGAAATTGTGATCTTTATTTGGTTCTGTGGATTCTTGTTTCAGATCTGACTTGAAGTTTAAGAATTACTTTCCTGGGCATTATTTATTTTCTTTGGAATTTATAGAGAGTTGCATATACATCAGTTGGTGGTAGTGGGTAGAAGACCTGTGACGATGAAGTGGGCTTTGGGGTCCAGGGCAAGGAGCCGCCATAGCTCGGTGGTGGCGGTTGGAGAGGAGCCGCCTGGTGGGAGTCAACTTCTCGGTGAAGGGTTGAGACAGAGCTGCTGGGCTAACATGCCTATAGAGCTTTGGAGAGAGGTGTTGATTAGGATTGAGGAGTCGGAAGCTAAGTGGCCATCGAGGAAGAGCGTGGTGGCATGTGCCGGTGTGTGCCGCAGTTGGAGGGCTATCATAAAGGCGGCCGTCCAAACCCCTCAAGCTTCTGGCAAAATGACCTTCCCAATTTCAGTCAAGCAGGTCTGAATCTCCCCCATCCCTACACATATATTCTTTTTTATGTGTTTGTATTCATAATTTCTGTTAAATTTAGAGCAGTTTGGTAATTCTGGAATTGCCTGAATCCGCTGAACAGACTAAGAAACAGTTAAATTGCCTGAATCTATTGAATTTTTAAAAATTATATTTAAAATATAGTTATCTGTTTTCACAGGAGACAGATAAAATCACAGTTGTTGAGCAGGATGCAAAGTGAGCTTAATTATTAGATAATTTATTCAAAATAATGTAGCAGACAAGAATAAACTACAATTGCCTGAATTGCCTGAATCCGCTGAACAGACTGATTTGTACATTATTTTGTACAAAATAATGTTCAGCGGAATTGCCTGAATCCGTTGAACAGACTAAGAAACAGTTAAATTGCCTGAATCTATTGAATTTTTAAAAATTATATTTAAAATATAGTTATCTGTTTTCACAGGAGACAGAAAAAATCACAGTTGTTGAGCAGGATGCAAAGTGAGCTTAAGTATTAGATAATTTATTCAAAATAATGTAGCAGACAAGAATAAACTACAACTCCTAATAGTCACAATTGGAATTTCATGTTAAATTCCAATTGTGAAATTAAAATTTGGAGTGGTTTGGTAATTCTGAAGAGAGAATTATCACTCATATCACTAAAGATTATCTATTTCCCAATGTATGACCTAGTAGTTTTTCTTCCTATTTTGTTGCCTGATTTTGGCCATCCTACTCACGGTTACTCACCTATATTAATTTCTAAGCCTAAAATGTAGGGATTATCACGTGAATCCTATTCATCTAATGTGTTTACAGGTCATATTCCTATCAAACCTGATTTTTAGTCATATTATGGGAATTTCTCCCTCTTTTAGTATTATTATGGTATTTTCCCCAATTCTGTACCGGTTGAATCTATTGAAATAATGCCCAAAACAATTGAATTGTTTAAATCTATTGAATTACTCGTGTAAAAAGTTATATTTAAAATATATTTTATTGATAAAGAAAAAGTTATGGAAAAAGTAAAATAGTACTTTTCAACAAGTTTAGTTCACGCAATAGAAAATTAACTCCTGCTTACTTATTTTGACTATTTATTTATTTAACAATTTAGCGCGAGAAAATCAAAAGTGTAGTGTTTATAAAAAAACTGATTAGTGGTAAAAGAATTACCAAACGGGCTCTTAAGTGGCTTTCATATCATGTTTTGAATTTTCTTCTAGTCATCATATTTGTTAATGTCTTTCATAAAATTATGTTAAGTGCGTGAGTCAGAGACCTTGTCCAAGGACGTGAACGGGATTGACCACAGGTAAACGATGATGTTCCTGGAGCTATTTTAATTGACGAGGAATAGACGAACTGAATTAGAGGCTTAATAGATAATTATCGATCCCCGACCTAGTCAAGAGATTTCAAGATTAATTAACCAAAAAGCTGTTTTTTAAAGTAGCTGGGATCCCCTTAAATAGATAAAGGGTTTCCTAAAACAAAATAGGAAACTAAGTTGCTATTCTAATACAACTAAGATAAAGGGTTTCCTAAAACAAAATAGGAAACTAAGTTGCTATTCTAATACAACTAAGATAAAGGAATACTAATTAAAGTAGGACTAATTAAATACTAATAAATTTGCGGTAATAACCTGCCAGGCCCAAAAAACCGCGTAAAGCTGTAACTGATTGGGGTGTTGGCCAGTCCGTGATAGCCTTGATTTTTGCTGGATCCGCCTCAACGCCTTTGCTATGGATGACATCCCCGAGATATTGGACTTGCGGTGCGCCAAAACTGCATTTGGATTTTTTTAAGGACAGACCATGAGTGAGCAAGGTCTCCAATACCACATGGACATGATAAACGTGTTCTACCCATGACTTACTATAAATGAGTATGTCATCAAAGAAAACGAGGACAAATTTGCGAAGGTATGGTGCAAAGATGTCGTTCATTAAGATTTGAAACGTTGATGATGCATTGGTGAGTCCAAATGGCATGACTAATAATTCAAAGTGGCCGTGATGAGTTCGGAAAGCCGTCTTTTCAATATACTCTTCTGCCATGCGAATCTGATGGTAGCCCGAGCGCAAGTCAAGTTTTGTAAAGAATTTGGATCCATGAAGTTCGTCCAGTAACTCGTCGATGACCGGAATTGGAAACTTGTCTTTAATGGTTTTGGAATTGAGTTCCCTGTAGTCGACACAAAATCGCCATGTACCCTCGACTTTCTTAACCAGAAGGACGGGTGATGAGAAAGGAGAGCGGCTGGGGCGGATGATACCCTGCTGAAGCATCTCCGTACACTGCCTCTCAATCTCGTCCTTTTGGAAATAGGGGTAACGGTAAGGACGAACAACCACTGGACCAGTTCCTGGAAGCAAAGTGATCTTGTGATCACAAGCACGTGGCGGTTGCAGTCCAGCAGGCAACCTGAAGAGGTCCTCAAATTGGGCCAGGAGACTCTCCATGCTAGGGGATGTGGTTGTGATCATGTGGGCCTGAAGTGTTGGGACTCGAGTATGACCGTGCCATTCCACTGGAGTGCCCTGCCAGATGAAGCGCATGAAAAGACGTGAAAAATCCCATTCAATCGAGCCGAGGCGTTGAAGCCAATGAACGCCCAATATCATGTCAAACCCGGCCAATGGAAGCACATAAAAGTCCGCAATAAATGTGCGTCCTCCCACCACGAAGTTAAGTTGAGGACATGTGCCTAGGATAGGTACTCTGTCCCCATTAGCCACTTGAACATGGAGACGGGATCCAGGATGAATTGAATGGGTATTTTCTGGAACCAGCCTTTGATGTACAAAATTATGAGTACTACCCGAGTCTACCAGAACTGTAATGGGTATATCATGAAGAGTTGCTGCCAATTGCATAGTGGAAGTCGAACCGAGGCCAGTCATAGCATGAAGGGAGAGAGTTGGCTCAAACTGATTTTCTGACTGGTCTTCATCCATAATTTCAATAAAGAATAGCCTTTTGCATTGATGGCCACGGACCCAAGGATCGTCACAGTTATAACAAAGGTCTTTTCCCCTACGGATAGCAGCCTCTGCGCGAGATATCTTTTTGAAGTTTGGATTTGTTTGGCGTCGGTTCGGGTTGGATTCCGCAGTGGCAGGTACTGATGCTGAACGTGGGTTGGATTGGGGGCGCACTAGAAGTTCAGGCGAATAGTTTGGCAGGTGATATTTGTGTTCGACAGTGCGGGCCAACATCATAGCTGAGTCAAGGTCTAATGGATCCTGCTACTCAACCTCCATTCGGACAACCTCGCGGAGCCTGGCTGTAAATATCTTAACCTGCATACGGGCAGAGATCCCCACCGTGCGAGCTAATATTTGTTGAAAAGTTTCAATATACAACTCAAGGTCGCTTGTCTGGCGTAGTTTGGCAAGTTCTCCTTCGGGATTGGGACTACTAGGCGGGCCAAAACGTTTCGTACATCTGGTGTAGAACTCTGTCCAAGAGACTGGTGAAGCGCTCGTATCCAACTGATTAGCCCAAAGTTGCGCTGTGCCGATCATATGGAAAGTCGCCAGGCCAAGCCGAGCTTGAGCTGGGGTACGTTGCTGAACAAAGAAGCTTTCACAACGTTTTAGCCATGACAGAGGGTCACTCTTCCCATCGTACTGTGGAAATTCCATCTTGGAGAATCTGGGAACCAAGGAGTCTTCATGATCACGGCGAAAAGAGTCAGCTTCTCTTCTGCGTGCAAACTGGGGAGAACCAGATGATGGTTCCCCTGTTAACCTCTGCATGGTGGTGGACAAGGCTTCCATGGCCGCCGGAAGAGCGAGCAGTTTATCCATAGATGCCTGCAGATCTGCCAGTTGTTGTTCAACAGCCAGTTGTCGTTGGTCGACTCTCTCGATCATGGTTTTCAGGGAATCGGCAGCAGTAGAGTCGGTCCCCATCGTCCCAGAAGCTGATACCAAGTTGTTAAGTGCGTGAGTCAGAGACCTTGTCCAAGGATGTGAACGGGATTGACCACAGGTAAACGATGATGTTCCTGGAGCTATTTTAATTGACGAGGAATAGACGAACTGAATTAGAGGCTTAATAGATAATTATCGATCCCCGACCTAGTCAAGAGATTTCAAGATTAATTAAGCAAAAAGCTGTTTTTTAAAGTAGCTGGGATCCCCTTAAATAGATAAAGGGTTTCCTAAAACAAAATAGGAAACTAAGTTGCTATTCTAATACAACTAAGATAAAGGGTTTCCTAAAACAAAATAGGAAACTAAGTTGCTATTCTAATACAACTAAGATAAAGGAATACTAATTAAAGTAGGGCTAATTAAATACTAATATTAATATGACTCTAACTGCCTTCTTATTTCTTTTCTCTTAGCCACGTTGGTCATTAATCTTATCTGCCCCACACTGCTTCCTTCGTTCATATGTACGGCCATAGAATTGGTCCGTAACAAATTACTTTCCATTAAGAGCCAAAGCTAGATTTTCATTTCCATCAATACATTTCCAACCTGGTAAGGGTATAGGTATAATTTCAAGTGCGTGAGTCAGAGACCTTGTCCAAGGACGTGAACGGGATTGACCACAGGTAAACGATGATGTTCCTGGAGCTATTTTAATTGACGAGGAATAGACGAACTGAATTAGAGGCTTAATAGATAATTATCGATCCCCGACCTAGTCAAGAGATTTCAAGATTAATTAAGCAAAAAGCTGTTTTTTAAAGTAGCTGGGATCCCCTTAAATAGATAAAGGGTTTCCTAAAACAAAATAGGAAACTAAGTTGCTATTCTAATACAACTAAGATAAAGGGTTTCCTAAAACAAAATAGGAAACTAAGTTGCTATTCTAATACAACTAAGATAAAGGAATACTAATTAAAGTAGGACTAATTAAATACTAATATTAATATGACTCTAACTGCCTTCTTATTTCTTTTCTCTTAGCCACGTTGGTCATTAATCTTATCTGCCCCACACTGCTTCCTTCGTTCATATGTACGGCCATAGAATTGGTCCGTAACAAATTACTTTCCATTAAGAGCCAAAGCTAGATTTTCATTTCCATCAATACATTTCCAACCTGGTAAGGGTATAGGTATAATTTCTCTTTTCTTCTAAAAACAGGGGTATGGGCAAGGCATTTGTATAGTTAAAAATATTAAAAGTTCCTAATTTGCATTAGGTTATTGCCGAGATTCTACTTGATAAATAATAACCACAATAATTTCAACATAAAACAAGTCTTAATTATTCAACTCTGCATAAAGAAAGCCGTAACATCATTTAATGAGACGAGGGCGAGTGCCTCATGGCTCATGAGAGAAGATTTTAGGGATATAAGAAAAATTAGAGAAGAATAATAAGTTTTACATCGGATGAGTTCAGATTGGAGTTGTATATATAGTAGGTATAAACAAATTAAAAGAAAAAAAACTATCCAAAATTAAATTTAGAAAGTATTAGCTTGCTCATGCATGACTGTTTTGGAACATATGTAGTATTTGGTTAATTGTTTGTGTTTCATTTTATTGGTGATTACCTGATTATGCTACATTTTATGCATCGACTGGTCAAAAATCATCATCGTTATGATGGGAGCTGCCTAATTGCATCTGATTAACTACTTTATGAAGCACCACTTGCAGCTTGTATATTCTATAATATAGCTTGGGGAAAATGATAATGTGAGATTTGATGTGAAAGTATTTTGATATTTTTTCGCTTAAGACATTAAATCTGCCATCCTTTCCTCAAAATGGGTTTTCTGCTTTATTTGCAGCCTGGCCCAAGGGGCTCTCTCATGCAATGCTTTATAAAGCGGAACAAGTCTAAACAAACATATCATCTGTACCTTAGTTTGACTCAAGGTATGCTTTTGTTACCTAAACATCTTCTGCACTCAAAGGCTTGAAATAAGGGAATGTGAAGCCCCAATTATTATTAATTGTTTAAAGGACTGTTTCATCCATTATTTTTCCGTATGTGGCAGCATTGGCAAATGATGATGGAAAGCTTCTGCTTGCTGCTCGAAAGTGTAGGAGGGCCACCTGCACTGACTACATTATTTCGCTGCATGCAGATGATATCTCAAAGGGCCTTGGAGGTTATATAGGGAAATTGAGGTGTGTGTGATAATACTATTAGGATCAACTACTTTAAACAGGTCTAAAATAAAAAAGAAAATCTTTTCTGAAGGTCAAATTTTCCGGGAACCAAGTTCGCGGTGTATGATGGTTCTTCACATCCGCACCATGGAGGCAAAGTGGGAGAAAGTAGATCCACTAGGGTTGTGGCCATGAAGCAAGTTGTGTCTGGGGTACCTGTAGAAAACCATGAAGTAGCTCACATTTCGTACGAGTTGAATGTGCTCGGAGCCAGGTACAGTTTTATACTACATCTCATCATCACTTATTAGCACCTTAATATCAATTAGTTGAGGTTTGGAGGCATTAAGTTTAGAGTTATGTTGCATGTACAGCCATTTTTGTACAACATGCGCACAGACTGGATTTATTTGTTCAAACAGACAAAGTTTTTTCATGTCAGTGTGAACGAAAATATATCAATGTGGAGGTGATTCTTGTTTTGTTCTTGGGCACTTGTTGTTGTTGTTGGGTCCAAGGCTTGAATGTTTATGTATAAAAGATAGCAGCATTGTGTTGTTTGTATATTCCTTATACCTCTAAACCTGCATAGATGTGAGATGCATCATGTATCCCTTTAAAAAAAGGGAATTTAATTTGAAACGATACCAACTATTTGAATTCATAACAAGAATGATAAGAAGCCACTTTCTGACTACAAATCCAATCATTTAACCCATCAAAACCTAATATCAAACAACTATAGGTTTTCTATGAGCAAAATTGCTGGATTTGTAGTCAGAAACTGGCTCGTATCACTTTTTATTATGTATTCGAATAATTGGTATTAGTGAAAGTGATTCAAATAGTATATCGATGATAGTTGGTATTAGTGAAAGTGATGTCAAATATATATGCAACTCTCCACTCTTCATTTATCTTTGATATTATTGACTAATACTCTACTATATTGATATGACAACATTCAACTTGATAATTCATTAAAAGCCTTACAATTTGAATTTAGAAACCCTATTGCGAATAGAAAACCATAAATATGGGAAAAAGAATAATAAAAATTCTTTCCATTATAAATCCAATTCAACTAGGATTTCATTTTTTATTGTTAGAATTTTGTTTCGCCCTTTATAGTAATCGTATTCGTTTCGCCTATTAAACTTGGGTTTAGAAAGAAAAAAATGGGTGAAAATCCAACAGGAATAAAAACCTATAGCCTAAAATCTTCATAATCCAACAGGGCAACAGGAATAAATACATACTAGTATAAAACTAGGATTAGTATATTAGTGTAGTTTTTATAATTCAACATATTGAGTGAAAATGGGAAAAGACTGATTGTCTCCTATGCTTATATGTGCAGGGGTCCAAGAAGAATGCATTGTGTTATGGATAGCATTCCAGCACCTGCCATTAAACCTGGGGGTGTGGCCCCAACTCAGACTGATTTTCCAATTGGAAATGATAATTATTCCTTTTCAGCAACATCGTTTTCCAGACCAATGGCAACTGCTATGGAGAAATCTTTATCTGGACCCTTGGAGCTGGAGAGGCAAACAGATAGGCCACTAGTTCTGAAAAACAAGGGCCCGAGATGGCATGAGCAACTCCAATGCTGGTGTTTGAACTTCCATGGGCGGGTAACAGTTGCTTCTGTTAAAAATTTTCAGTTGGTGGCAGCTTCTCCGGAGAACGGTGCCCCGCCACATGAGAAGGTCATTCTGCAGTTTGGAAAAGTAGCCAAAGATGTGTACACAATGGATTTCCGCTACCCATTGTCCGCATTCCTGGCGTTTGCCATCTGTCTCAGCAGCTTTGATACAAAGACTGCTTGTCAATAACATGGGACGCACGGTTTGATAGTCATGCATGCCCCTTTGAACAATAAGGCCTCCTTTGGTTCAAAGTAGGGGAGGAAAGGGGAGAGTCAAGGAGGGGAGGGAAGGGAAGGATTTTTTGGTTGGAGGAAATAAGAGGAAAGATTTAATGAAAATATTTTCGCAATTTACTTTTATTTGATAGTTTACTTAAAAAAATAGATACATGTCTAACTATTGTGAATATTACTCCTATGGTCATGAGTCATAATTTTATTTTATTTGATTTTTTACTTTTTTAGTTTTATAATTTTTCATTTGAGTTTCGAATTTTTTATTTTTTATTTTTATTTTTTATTTTTTTTATTATTAATTTTTAAAATTATTAATTTATTATGTTTAAATTTTTTAATTTTTAATTTTTTAATTTTAAAATTTTTTAATCTTTAAATTTTTAAATTTTTAAATTTTTCAAAACTTTTTATTTTTTACCTTTTTATATTATAACGTTTTGTTCATTTACGTAGGAGATGAATAGTTTGTGTTTATCAACATGTTTCCTCCAAAATACCTCGATTTGGGGGTTTAGAATGAGAGGAAGTGAAAGATTTTGAAAATCTTCTACTTTCCTCCCCTCCCCCCTATTTTCTTCAACCAAACACACACAAATTCTTCACTTTCCTCCCCTCCCCTCCGAAACCTTCCAACCAAACAGGGCCTAAATGTATATGCTTAATAGAAGGAAAGGAGTATGTCAAAATTTTGAACAGCGAAATTTGAGGAGGCACACATGGCTTCTCTGTTTGACGATTAAACTAGTTGCATTTGATGTATCGTTATCATCCATTTTGAGTACGTACTTCTTCGGTTGTTCCACATCGTTTTTCCCAATTGATAATAGTGACTTGCCATAATAAGTGTTGGATCAAGGAGTAAAGAAGAACGCAAGTGTGGAAATAGTTATAGTACTATCCTTCATTCCATAAAAGTTTCAATAGTTTGATTTTCACTTTTGCCAACGCGTAACTTTGACTGTAATTATATTTATTTATGTATTAGTAAACATTAAAAAAAGTTAATATATTTGAAAGTTATGTTAATACAAATTTATTAATATTTTATACATAATATTTTTATTAATATATATTATTAGAAAATCGTAGTCAAAGTAAGGTGTCTGAATAGTGCAGAAATTTCAATGTTGCAACTTTTATGGAACGGATGAAGTATATTTTATACTAAAAAGTACTAATAAATACTTAATACGTAGTACAAGTGTACAACCGTACAAGATTACTAAATATAATTAGTGTTACTTGACTAGAGTAGATAACGGAGAGGTAGACATTTCTGTGTTGGTCTGTTCATTTTAATCAGACATGATAAAACAGTTTCAAATTAGATTTGAAAGATTCAGAAAAAATTCTCAACATTCTGATTTTTAAATAATAATATCAGGTATTAACTTATTATTATTATTACCGCTTTACATTTATTTTTTATTTGGTGAATATATATATTTTAATCCGGTTTGGGGATCAAGGCTTGGATGTTGTTGTATTGGTTTATTCTTTATTCCAACAACGGGAAAATATATTTTGTTTCATCACAAATGATATTTTTTTGTTAAGTTTAGTTTTAGTGAAACTCATATAATTCCTATTTTACTATATTGCTGGTCTGATCTGCTCTGGTCTGGTCTGGTTTCTTTGTATTTTTATAACTATTCAAGTCTGGTTTGAACTGGTCTGGTCTGGGAGGAATTATAGCCATCCTAATACTTTAGGCTTTACTTCATTATTATTTAAATTAGTACGATTACTTACTAGTATTAATAAACTAATAGATGTAATTATGGCATTACTTATGGTCATAATAAAAACAAAAAGAAAATTATAATTAGGATAATTCTAATAATAAAAATGATATTGATAACGACAACTGCAACAATATTATTATTAGTAATAAAGATAATACCAACAATACTTAAATTAATTTTTAAAAAATTGAATGTTAATAATTATTCAAATAAGACCTAAAGCAATGAGTTGATATGTTTTTCTTAGATCAGGTCAACAAATTCAGATGTGGCCAACTAAACACCGTCCAACAAGCTAAGAACTAAATTACGGAGTCCCTCTATAATTGTCACGTTTTTTATTTTTGGACGTCCATCTATAATTGTCTCATATCATATTTTATAACATTTGTGTGACTGTAATCCATTCTTACTTTATTTTCATTTTATCAATTTATTTTTAACCACATAATTATACTTTTTTTAAAAACCACGTCACACTCTTCCGTCCCAATATTAGAGGACGAAGGTTGTATTACTTTTAGCTTAAGGGATTCGTACCAATTAAAATAGTTACCATGTTAACTAAGCAATGCATATTTCCGTTTTCATTTTATATTAATATTGCGGATTTATCCATGTTACGTACTCCTTAAGGTACATGCGCTTTTTTACCACAAAAAAGAAGTAAATTAAATACTCCTTATATTTAATATTAATAGGATAAAAGTACCATTTTTGTAAGCCTTACAATACTTGGTCACTAAGTTATCTTTTGACTACACACTTGCATTAATATTCATGGATCATCTATAGGTTTTGTCCACACACTTCCATTTATGGATCATCTATAAATTAAATGGTGTTCTCTTGAAAAAGACTCGGGCTGTTGATAATGATTTTTCAGTTTTTTGGAAATAATTTGAAACACAAATTTATTTTGTGAAACTCCTAATAAGGTTCAAATGTTCCATTGGGATTATAAGTCAACTTAATTTTCCAAGTAGATCAGCAAAATGGCATCTTGAGCAAAGGAAGGCTTTTTTTGTATAACTCAAAACGAAATAATCGGAAATTATAATTGAACTATAGAATGGATGCCCTTAGCATTGGTTAGTGAATTATAATTTAGGAAAAGGAAAACAAGAAGAAGATCGCAAATTAAAGCTACGAATAAAAATCAGAGAACTCTTCACTTCTTTAAGATTGATCTCAAGCCAAATTGCCAAAATAATACAGGTCAATGGAGATGAAACATCGATCAAAAACATAGGAATGCTAATTAACCACATAATTTAAACCATGAACTTAATTGCATGAGTATAAATTTCTATGCACTCATAAAAAATAATGAATCATCATATCATATATCCGGGAATGATTTGACTGCCCGCCAAGGTTCTTGACTTCAAGAAATCACTGCAGATTATACAACGATAAAGAAAAGAGAGCCAAAGCCAGAACCGTCCCAAAACTTGAAGAAGGAGAAGATTCAGACGGATCATCAACAGAATGAGGGACGACGGGTATTTGCGCATCTTCGTCGGGATTCGTGGTGGGACTGGAAGGGATCGTCGTCGGCATAGAAGATTCGGCGGAGGAAGGCAAAGGCAGAAGCGGCGCAATATCCGGCGAGATTCCGGTAGCGAATGGAGAGAGGGATGGAGCAATTGAAGGGGGGTCTGGTTTGGGCGCCGCCGCCTTCTTGCTGCTTGGCTGATGATGCAGAGACAGTACAGGTGAGGTTGAAAACATTAAAGCGGCCGCCGCCACCAGCACCACCATCATCAGTGGCGCAGAAAGAAAGTTAAAGCCATTCATGTTTGCTCCTGCTAATGATAATGAAATCAATAACGAACACTCACTTCTTGCGGGCAGTCCTCTGAATTTATATACTCCCTCCCCTGCATTAGTAAGAGGTTTTCCAACCTAGGGAAATAACTGTTCCAACTTTTTACCACCCAATTTACGCGTTATTTGTTTACACAGACAACTCGTTAAAAAACGTAAAAATGGGCACAACGCTAGGATGGAGACAACGAAAGACTATCGGGATGCTTTCGGTTTCTTCAAGAAAAAAATTGTAATGTATACACATATGCATAATATTTATAAACATTAAAAATATAGTGAAATTTTAACTTTTTGACCCCTCCATATAAATTAAAAGAAAAGAAACGGGGCATAAAAGTCTTGACAGCTGATCAATGTGGGTTCTTGTTGATCGAGTAGTGGTTAGTGCCACTCTGGCATGGCCTGGTGTGTGCATACAGTTGGCATGTTTTATAAGAAACGAGAAAGCGAAGTGCCTTTTTCTTCATACAATAATAAAGCAGAGTAAATTAAATATGCTTTTCACATCTAACATGGAGCAATGTCAACTTTAGGGCATGTCTGGGAAAACAGTATTTCAGTGGACGGCTAACGAGTAATCTTAGCTGATTTGGGACATGATTGATTTCAGTCATGTAACTTAATTAAAAACTTCAACTACCTACAAAATTTCAGATTTCCCGGAGAAGTTAGCATTTTGCACGTAGCTTATACTGCATACTCTCTCTTATAATTTTGCCAATTTTCCTTTTTTGGTTGTTCCAAAAACTTTGTCACTTTCCCTTTTAGTCAATCAAATTATGGTTCCTGTTATTTCTCTACCACACAATTTTTACTTTATTATTCTACGTGTCGGTCAAACTTGACAATCCTTTTCGGGACGCTCGAGTGTCAAAAATCAAAACTTTATTATGAGGACTAAAATTATACACTCTCAATTACATATTGAAAGCCCAAAAGATCCAAACATGGTGTCAGAATTTTCGGCCGTCAGATGTTTGACATTCATATTAAAACTAAAGCCGATTGAGGTGACCTCGGCCGTAAGATGTTTGACACGTGTCCTTGTCTAGCATTTATGGCTACTATAAATAGCAGCCACTTTCCATTGTAATAGACAGAACATTCATACTCGAATACACACACTCTCTCTTACTTATTGCTCTGCCTTCTCTCTAGATTGTTCCCCGAAATAACCCCTCGGATAAGCTCCTCCTGGGTACACTATCCATCATTTGGTGTTCTCGTTGAGAATTCGAACAATCAAGTAAGAAACCCTCCCCCTCAGAAAAACTTCCTCGAGATGGGAAGAACCACTCGTGCCCAGTCCAAGACCCTTGAAGACAACAACCTGGCCCTCAGCGAGGTTGATGCCCCCGGAGCCTCCAATAGGGCTTCTGAGAGTGGAGTCATCCCCGGGTTGGAACAGGCTGCTGTCGACCTACGTCTCCAGCTCCAGAGGAATGCCCTTGATGCCCGTCTAGACATCGAAACCCGGAGGAAGGACCGGAGCGAGTATCAAGTGAGCCCTCCTGTCCTCACCGTCAACGTGCAGTCGACATTCTCTGCCTTCATATAAACGCTCACCTAGAACCCTGGGGCCTTCAGCACTCTGGTTCCATTTCAGCCACAGGTCGGGGAGAACATCGTTCCTCCCCCACCTCCACCCCCCTTCGTAAACCCTATCCTTCGGATCGGGAACAACAAAGGGGTCGTTGCTTAGGATACCGCCTCCCAGGATGTTCAGTCCCGGGACCAGCGCGAGGCGAACAAAGATAGGCCCCGGACCTCCGCCCTCTAGAGGCTCGGAGGAGTGCAAGATCGTTGACGGGTCCAAGACCGCCTCGGTGGTAAGGCATTCCAAAGACCTCAGGAGAGCGGAGGATCCGTCTCGAGGGCCGACGAGAGGCGCCCCCTTCGGGACAAGGGCAAGGGAATGCTCCATGCCGATGACGCCAGGCACCAAATCAACCAAGCTCACTCAGCCCGCGCACAATCACAGGGGGCAGAACCACTCCTGAAGGATCACCGGGATGACATCATCAAAGCCCTTCAATGCCGGCTTGATGAGATGGAGGCTCGCCAAGTGCACATAACCGCCTCTGCCTCCCATGCGGATATCAAATATGAGGCCATGCTGGCAAAAATGGAGGAGATGCAAAGGAAGATTGCTGAGGACTCCGGGGAACCCGCCATCCAGCTCCGGACAAAGACGCCTTTTACCCCAAGGGTATTGATGGCCCAGATTCCCAGAAAATACCGAGGGCAACCCATCAAGCCCTATGACGGGAAGACTGATCCCCAAGAGCACTACCGCAGGTACCATAACAGTGTGATGATGATGGGGGCATCGAATGAATATTTATGTCGTTGGTTCCTCTCCACCTTGGAAGGACCAGCATATGAATGGTTCAACCGATTGCCCGAAGGGAGCATTGACTCATGGCAAGAACTCGCCCAGCGTTTCTTGACGCAATTTACGGGGAGGCACCGATCAAAGACACACTTCTCCCACTTGCTGACGGTGAGGCAACATAAGGAGGAGACCCTCCGGGATTTCATGGGACACTGGAGGCTGGAGACGGATAAGGTTGACGGCGCCGACGATGGAACCCTTATGGCTCTCCTACAAACAGTCCTCCGCACTGGGAATTTTTTAAGGAGCCTTATTATTGAACATCCCCGAGATTATATAAAGGCCCTCCAGTGGGGAGACCGATACGCGGAGGCCGAGGAGGTTGAGAAATGCCACTGAAACCTCAAACAACAACGCCCTAGGACAGATGACAGAAACCACCGGGGGCTAGGAGCTCCATTCCACCAATCCAAGGGACTGTTGATTGCCCCCAGCAGGGCCAAGCCAAGCCCGGGGGAGGCTACAAAAATAACCCGAAGGTCTGGGCCCAGCCCGTTCTTCTGGGGCACCCTCGAACCCCCTGACACACCCCATCAACGTCATTCTGGACTACGCCGAGGAGAGGGGGCTAGTGGAGCGAGATTCTAGGGCACCCCGGGAGGTCTACGCCATCAACCCCGAGGAACCTTACTGCCGTTTCCACCGACACCTAGGCCACCGAACCGATGACTGCCACTAGTTGAAGGCAGCCATCGAGAAGCTGATAGAACGGGGCCACCTATCCCAATTCATAAGGGGGTATCCTCATCAAGCCCCCCCCCCCCCCCCGCGAAAGCGAACGCCTGGGTTAATCTAAACACCATTCCCCTCGGCGACTCGAAGGGCAAGAAAAGGGAGATTGGAAATCTCAGCTAGGAAGAGGGGTACAACCAGTGCCAAGAAAAGAAACGCCACATTCACATGATCACCGGCGGCAACACAGGAGGAGATTCCACAAGCGGCGCTGCTTTCTAGTCTTCTCCACCTAAAACGGTAAGGGAAGGAGCCCATATTCCCCCCGTAAAGCGATTGAGGGAGGAGCCCATTATATTCACCAACGCCGACCTCCCCCAGGTTCCTCCTCTCACAGGGGCGCCTTAGTGATCCAGAGTGAGATCAATAACACCATTGTCCACAGTACTTACGTTGACACAGGCAATTTCGTCAACGTAATGTACCTTAGCACGTTCAAAGAGCTGCATCTCGAGAGGGAGTCCCTTCGGCCCATCCGGACCCCTTTGTCCGGCTTCACCGGAGACACCATCGATTCCGAGGGGGCAATATCCCTCTCGGTACTCTTCGGCGATGGGCTCCATAGAGCCAAGCTCGAAGTGGAGTTCGTCATCGTCAACATCGACTGCGCCCACAACATCATCCTTGGCCGGCCTGCCCTCGAGGATCTGGAGGCAGTCATCTCCATGAAACACCTATGCCTCAAATTCCCAGGTGAAGGGGCATCGGGTACTCGAGGAGGAACCAGAAGCTCTCACGCGCCTGCTACCTCCAAATAACAAAAGGTTAGTAAGGCTGAGTTCCATGTAGACACCATCACCGGAATAGTAGAAGGGGAAGAGAAGAGGCCAAGGGCGGAACCAGCTGAGGAGGTAAAAGACTTTGCGCTCAACCCGGCCAAGCCGGAGAGAGTCGTAAAGATTGGAGACAAGCTCCCCGAAGACTTGAAGACTGGCATCATAGAAGCCCTCCGCACCTACTTCGTTGTTTTTGCATGGGGGCCGGAGGACATGCCTGGAATCAGCCGAAGGGTGATCACTCATTGCCTGACAGTGGACCTTTCCTCGAAACTTTTGCTGCAGAGAAGAAGGCCCCTCTCGGCCGAAAGGAGGGACTTCGTGAAGAAGGAAGTTGTTATGCTCCTCTCAATCAAACACATCAGTGAGGTAAAATAACCTTCATGACTAGCTAATGTGGTCTTAGCGCAAAAACCACCCTCCTTCCGCATGTGCGTGGATTACACAGACCTGAATAAGGCCTGTCCTATGGACCTCTTCCCCCTGGCTAATATTGATCAACTGGTAGATGAAACGACGGGCTGCGAAATCATGTCATTCCTCGACGCTTTCCGCGGATACCACCAGATCTTCATGCACGATGAAGACGCCGAGAAAACGGCCTTCATGACTCTCGAGGGCATCTTCTGCTATCTAGTTATGGCCTTCGGCTTGAAGAATTCAGGCTCTACTTACACCCGGATGGTGGCCAGAGTCTTTCAAGTCGTCCTAGGACGCACCATGGAGGCTTAAGTCGACGACATGATCGTCAAGAGCAAACGATCAACCATCCATACCGGGGATCTCCGAGAAATCTTCTCCATCATGCAAAAATTCAATCTCCGGCTGAACCCGAAGAAATGCACCTTCGGCGTGCAAGGAGGCAAGTTTCTGGGCTACATGGTGAGCCGAAGGGGTATTGAGGCTGATAAGTCCGTATTTAGACATGCATTTGATGCGTGTTGGGATCGGGTTTGATGGTTTTCCCTAGCGTTAAGGTGTTACAAGTCTCAATTTAGCTCAAGTTATGTTTAACAGGCGTTGGTTCGAGTTTTGTGTCATTTGGAGTCAAAATCAGGATTTTAGAGTTCGGCACTGGCGCTTGAGGAGAAATAGGGATGAGTTGAGAAGAATTTGAGATTGATTTGAGAGCTATGGAGGTC